TTTGCTTTAGAGACAAAAACAATATTTCCACAACGTAGAAGCATCTAAAAGTGAGTTTTTATAGGTTTTTGCAAAATTCAGCACTGAATCCTAGAAATTTAGCAAAATGCTCAAAAAAATGTGATAGAAACAATGCCTATATCGGAGATCCATCCACAACCCAACCGTATAGCACATCCCAAGCAGATAAATATAAGTCCAGCATCTCTGATACAAAAAGGCTTTAACTGTCAGGCAACGCTAATCAATTTCAGCGATACTTGACAAGTCAAGTCTCCTTAGTCTACTTTTGTAAATATGGCTACAATCTGCACTAGTGGTATCAAAAGAGAGACAAAGCCACCTAGCTCCCCTACAAAATAATTGTTGAACATCAGAAGGTATTTTCTGCGTCGGATCCTTGGATATTGCAGAAAGGAACCAGACGTTTCACTGATAGGAAATTCAGTACTTGCTAGCTTTTAGTGTGTTTTTTTTCCTGAGAACTTGAAATCAGATTACAAGATCCGAAAATAGGCGCTGGTCTAGACTCTATGAAGCTTCTCAAGGCGGGCTTGGTATTCAGGAGGGGTCATTCTGGGTGGTAAACATCTATACAACAGCTTCGTAAAAAGCTGTTGAACCTTTTCTACTCTACTCATATCTTTTTTTGCAAACGGAGACCGGATCTGAGAACGGTATTCCAGGTGAGGGAGAACAAACGCACTATAGGACATCAAAAGTACCCTTGAGTAGCTGGTACTAGTATTGCGAAAAAGCATGAAAAGCGAAGAATATGCTTTAGTTGTCATATCGACGTGCTTAGTGCTTTGATACCATACCATTTTGCAGTTCTTGTAAGAAGCGTTAGGCGGGATAGGAACCAACAGAGCGGTAGTTTCCAAGTTATGATAGCGATTGGGGGCCAGATGTTTGCACCAATTTCTTAGTCTAAAACCGATGTTTCGCAGCCGTTGTTGTTTGAGCTTTGTACATGGCATGAACTTGATCCTTTGTTTGCATGTCCTTTGTAACTGAGGAGATGTTCTCTGATTATTTGCCGACATTGCCCATATTTACACTTTCATGCAGAGCAACTCCATAATTTGCACTTAAAGTGCATACAGTCTGACCACGAACACCGTCAACAGTTCCGAAGCTGTTATGCAAGCCATACGGATCTTCATTGAGTGCATGCTCGCATCATTACTCTCTCGGCGAGGCGAGGCGTTTCTCTGCACATCCTTATTAGTTCATGTAACGCAGTTGTGTTTCGTATGACGTATGATCTGGCCTGTCCTCGTTATCGCGAATCATTCTATAATAAAGAATGGCAAGGTTTTGCCCTTGCATGTTTACAAGTTGCGGACTGAGGCGAGTGATTGCGGTGGGTGCCGAAGGTCTAAATTTGTCAACAAGGCTAGCGCGTTTTCAAGCATCGTTCCTCGTCGGGAGCTGTTTTCGACAGGGGTGTGAATTCTAAGTGCAAAAAGGCTATGGTGTGGGGAGGTGCACTCTCGTAAGGTTGCTAACAGTATCCCCCCCCCCCCCCCCCACCCACTTTCGCAATTTATACTTGGGGTATGACTGATTTCACAGTTTGCTGTTTTTGAGTGTTTGTCTTTGCCACCAAAGCCAGTTTGCTTTTCGAACTGTAGTCCTTAATGTTCACGTACATGCCGTAGATCTATTCACATTTTCAGTTTTCTGCTAAGGTAGGGTACCACGGGCACTTTCTTCACTTAATGACCGGTCTGTGCTCGTCTCGTAGGGCGATTCCTCTCAAACCTGGGATTTGTATGGGACTTATAGGGCTGTACTTTAAGGTGTATAAGTGGCCCAGCGCTTGCTTCTCATAGCTCGTCCTGTAGGCGGTACATAACGCGATTCTTATTGGTCTGTATGGGACATAAGATATGGTCCTTAAGCGGCTCGTAGTTTTTTGTCCCAAAATATTATTTGTAGGAACTGGTAGGGGGAGGGGGATTCTTAGCATATCGATTTTTAAGCGATTCATAGGACAGTTTCTTTTCCATATTGTTTTGGTGTTTTGTAAGGCAGTTCGTTCGCAACGTCACGGGCTGGAAGCGACCCATAGAGCTTTTTTTTCTTCAAAATATTGCTTTGTAGGAAGCTTGTAGGGCAGTTCTCTCTTAAAATATCGGTCGCATCCACAAGGCAGTTTTCTTAAAAGGTCTGCAAGCAGCTCATAAGCAATTCTTTTCCTTCGAGTTTCTTACAAGCCCATTGATTTGTAGGATTCTCGTAGTTTTTGAAATTGGTTGCAGCTATAGGGCAGTACTTTCCAAAAAATCTGTAGGCGGTCCATATGGATCTCTTTTCTGAATTTGTGATTTTCGAACTCCCCATAGCACCTTCCTCCTGACAATCATCGGTGTGAAGCGGCCCGCAGATCAATTTTTCCCTGGGATATCGGTTTGTGAGTCCGATAACTATTTTTTTCAAAATGTTGGTTTGGAGGCGGCTGTGAGTTTATCACTAAATGGCTTTGGCTTTGTAGGGCTCGAGAGCATTCTTTCGCAAAGTAACACTCTACCGGCTTCGCATAGGAAAATTTTTTTGGAATATTTGTTTGTAGGAGGCTTGTAGGACATAATGCTGCGTAATGCTCTGTTGCGGTTTGTGGACTTCTTTCTTATGGAAGAGCTCAGCAGGCGGCTCGTAGGACATGTAATAATGCTTATTTCGTTGCTTTCCTTATTGTTCAGTTTTCTGTATCGTCCTCTTTGAACTCGACTGCTTTTGGGTTGACCGTCAACAGAGATTGTTGGAAAACTTGTAGCCCAAAGGAGATTCTCAAAGGAATCAAAAAATATCGATTAGTTAGCTCCGTGTTGCCCAGAACTTGTCAAATATTGTGATAGGACAGCGCTAAGAATTCCCTCATGTTTTTTTTGGAACAAGATATCTTGTTTCATAACGACTTCCTATATCCACAATTTGACAGAAGTATGTCCATATGTTTGTCCTCCTGCTAAAGTATTCAAAGATGTTACGTTTAACAAAATTCAGTGACGAATAATGAGGACAGCAGTTTGATTGTCCTCTTTTCTTTGAACCTCGGCATTATAATGATGTAGTTTTATTTGTTAGTTGTGCCAACACGAGGTTTCGGCGAAGCTTTATTAGTAGAGCGGCCTAAAGTTTCGAGCAATGGGTTGAGCAAAGCTGGCCAGGGTTGACAAGGCGTTTGGTGGGACAAGCATAAGATCATTAAATCGCGCGCCATCTTAGGCTTCTGAAGACGAAGATTGCTCGAAACGTTAGGCCGCTCTACTAATAAAGCTTCGCCGAAACCTCGTGTTGACACAACTAACAAATAGAATGAGGACAGCTTTTCCGTTCTTTCTCGGAATATCGGCTGTTGGTAGGCCTCTATTCCCACTCAAAACTCCTATCTGTTGGCTGCCTATAAAGCAGATCCTTTGATCTGTCAGCGGGCCCTAGGGCAGTACGGTTTGTAGGAGGTTCGTCGGGCAATTTCTACTTGAGATATCGTGTAAGCTTCCCACAGGCCACATATCGTTCTGTGAGAGATTTGCAGGACAGTTTTTTTATAAAACGGTCTGCAAGCCTTTCATAGGGGACTTTCTCTTCATAACTACCGGTCTGAAGGCAGCCCATTGGGATATTCTCAAGTATGGGTTTGTAGGGGGGAACGGATAGGGGCTGGTAGAACATGTCTTCAGGCTTGGAACGGATAGGGGCTGGTAGAACATGTCTTCAGGCTTCTCATAGGGCAATCTTTTCTTTCGAGCATCGGTCTGTAAACGGCTTGTCGACTGATTATTTTTCAAAATATCGCGTGGCGGCTTGTACAGTGTCCTTTCTTTCGTTATGGGTCTGTAGGGTGCGTAGGGCAGGTGCTTCTCAAAGAATTTGTAGGGTAAAATATGTTTTGTAATGGCTAGCTTTTTTTCACAAAATATCGGTTTATAGGGGATACATAACACTGTTTTCTTAAAACAGTGGTCTCTGAGCGGTCCGCAGGGCATTTGCTAAAAACATTGGCTTGAGTCTAGGGCAGTTCGTTTTCAAAACATGGGTCTCAGTGCAGCCCACAAAATAGTCCTTTCCCGAAGTGACGTTCCGAGTCAGCTTGGTTTGTGGAAAGCTCGTTAGGCACTTCTTAAAAATATCTTTTTTTGAATTGTTGATTTCTAAGCAGTCCACATAGCAGCTCTTTCTCAAAATAACAGTCTGTAAGCGGCCCTTAGGGCAGTTTCATTCGAAAGGTTTGCAGGAAGCCCTTAAGGCTGTTCTTTTTTTGCAATATCGTCTGTATGCAGCCCTTACGTCTGGCCATTCTTTTTTAGGGAACCACTCTTCAGGTGGCCCGTAGGGCGGTTTTTCTTTCAGAATGTCGTTCTGAAGGCAGTTCCTGTGTGTCGCCCCTAGGCAGTTCCCCAGGGCAATTTTTCTAGAGTTTCTGAACTTTAAGATACATCGTTGTTTTGAAATTAGCCTGCTTCCAAGGTGAAACTCAGTGGGGATTATAGAAAATTTGCATAGAAAAAGTTTGAAGTTGAATGGCTTGTAAAGTTCTTTGCTTTATGCCTCACTCAGTGGGTTTTCACAAGTAACTCTCAGAAAGGTATAAATTTGTAAAGATATTTGTAGTCATAACAAAATACCCAATAATCTCTCTGCCCGCCCACTTGTTAGCGACCCTTAGGGTCGTTAGTCTCTTCTTAACACCGTAAGAGAACACATAGCACAACATTAAGGCATATGGGGGAGGAGAGCACCTCCATCGCATTGCTTTGGCAGTTACCAAAAGATATTATAGTAGGATACTTTTGCCGTGGCTTACTAAATATTTTTGGTTGGGAGACGTTCCATTTATTAAGAGTTTTGCTAAAGTTTTGCATGTCTTAAATACTGAAACGATGAAGGAGGAACATGAATTCAACCACAAAAGAGTACAAAAGCGGTTTTTTAGCCTCGATGCATTGTAAAGTTGAAGACCAACTGAAAAATTTATGCATGAAGCAGAAAACATTCAACATTCAATTATGGCACATGCACCGTATTTCCCCTGTCCGTACGCGTTGGCATTTTCCACCTTTGATGGGATTTTCATCATCAACCTGAAATATTACACGAAAAAATAGCTTTGTTATTCGCAAGGCAAGTTGCTTATAATATGTGTACTTGAGAAAACATGAGGAATCTTTTGGTATATGGTATTTCGCTCTTAAGCTCAAACTTGAATAGAATTTTGTTGCTGTCTTACTAAAAGAAGTGCGGAAATAGGGAGAAAGCAGTGTAGAAAGTAGGTAGGCTTAAAATGGAGAGAAAAAAATTACTGCGGAAATAGGGAGAAAGCAGTGTAGAAAGTAGGTAGGCTTAAAATGGAGAGAAAAAAAATTACAAAGTGGAATGAGGAGAACATAACTATGGTATACTAGTACGTTGTGCTTATTGAGGTTGAATTACTTGCCGCTCTAACTCGAAAAACTCGAAAAAACCATTGGAACCACCTTATTTCTTGAACACTTTCAATTGTCACTGTAATCTTGATGTTCCTAAAAGAATTTGGCAAATAGCATAATTTCCTACCTTAGCCAAACATTCTGATTCACATTGACGGTTGGCATCGGCACAGGTTCTGTCACAAGAGTCTTCTGCGCCACTTGCCATGAAAATCGAAAGCAACAGAAAGCTGACCAAGAGTAAATTTATGTCCACAGAAGAAATGCTTTCCACAGGCTGCGAAGTTATCAGGGCCGGTAGTAATTTACCCTACTTGGCGGCATCTTAGATGGCGCCAAGTAGGCACACATCACGGAAAGTTGCCATCTTCGGCGGCAGCTCGCGGAGTAATTCTAGCTTTCAATAATCTTACTTAACCTTAGTACGCAATATTTCGCACATTAAATTTTGATGATGCACACAGCCGCAAAACTGCTGCCTCGCGCGCGGTCGAACCTAAGTGCGTTAACTTCAAGTGCCACCACGTTAAAGGCACTGTCCACCCTAAGTTGAGGGTGTTGAGCTTTTGGCAGCATATAATAGTAGGGCCCTCTATCAATCTACTGCCCAAGTCGCGGCGCAAAACGCAGCTTTGGAAGGGAGAAAATTGCTTCGGAATAGCGAAGATGCACGAGGACCCCCATCCATGCCCGCCCTCCCCCATCCATGTCCGCCCATTTGTGCGCGCCCATCCAATCACCGTTCCGGAAGGCCGGCCTGGGTTCTCCGGAACGGGGATTGTCGGGATTTCGAGTATTTTCAACTTCATATTTGGAATCAGGAACATGAGAAGGCCCTGAAACGACGAAAACGCGGAAGTCGAAAATCTGGGTGAACGGTGCCTTTAACCGTTCGACCATTCGGTCAATCACTGACGGTTGCACCAGCAATAGGAGGAACGCAGTGGTAAGTGGCCGCCTGTAAGAGGGATCGATACATTGCGTGAAAGACTTTGACCTGAAAGAACAGCTGATTGATAAGCGAGAGAGGGACGAAATCGGTGCAAACGAGATTAAGAAGGGATTTTAGAAAAGATGGTGTTTTTTATGGTTCTCAGGCATTACTAGATTTTTTCTCAGTAAGAAAATCGTCGTTTCAAAAAGGAAAAACTCATATAATAAGAAAAATGATAGTTTCTTGATGGAAAGTAGAATTTTTTGATTTTTTCGCCCGACGTAAATTGTGTGATATGCCGCACTATCCAAACTTGCAGACGGCGCCAGAAGGTGCCACCACCTCGACATGGTAGGGGCACGTCGGGATGGTGGCACCGTGATCTCGCAAACGAGCACGCTATTTTTCCTATTCTCTGACCTGGCGCCATCTCTCAGCGCTGAAATTTCGACGAGATGCCGCCAGGTCAGATCGCGAAGTTGCCTCCACCACTTCATGCCTTCCTCTACAAATCTGTTTAGGGAGGATTTTAGCACCTTAAGTTGCCAGGTAAGGTTCCCTAAGGTCATTGTGACCTCCTCGACCGGAAATACCTGGTGAAAAGGGTTGGGAGGGCACAGACTTGAGGTCGGAGTTCGCGCCGACTGATAGCGATTGATTTACTATAGCATGAAAAAATAACCGGAGTATTGCTATACATCAGAAATTGCCTCATTATCTGAATAAATTTTATGTACTAAACTTTTGGGGCTTTTGTGGTAAGTCATACATTTGCGGTGATAGTCAATGATTTTTAACAAAAATGATTTTTGATGATTTTCAAATGATTTTTAACATAAAAGTTGCAGTTTTCAGCTGAAGTCAAAGTCACTTACATCAATTTTACCAAATAAGAAAATGGAGTTTAAATTCTAAAGAGCTTTACTTGAATTCTTGGATATGGTTTTCAATATGGTTCTTTGCCTTATTGCAATATATCGTACATCTGACCTGATTTATGCTCGGGAATTGAACGTGTTCACTAAGGCTTTTGGAAAAAACATCAAGCTATGAGGATTCTGAAGCTATTTGAAGCAAAAATTTTTACGAGCATTCAAGTAATCTGAGTTCCTTTTTGAGCAGTATTGCGTGCGTGTTCCTAGGGATTAACAGAGTCACATAGAGCAAAATGCCTGTTTTGTGCTAAGACCAACTTCACCTTGATCTCCCTGAGCAAAAAACGTAACTTTCGGTGCTAAGACAATTCATGTGTATTGTCTTATACATGAATATTTGCATGGTAGCTTAGCTAATTTCTGAAGCAACAAGTAATAAGAAGCATAGCCTTATCCATAGAAAAAACTAAAAGGGCAAGGCTCCAGATTTTATGGATGCGGTTGCTCAAAATGACTTTGTGCAGATTAGAATGAGAAGCAGATTTCAAAGCACCAGAGCTCAGTTAACGTCTCACCTTTATGGTCCCTCACTATGTGTTGAAGATACAAAGAAAATTTGGAAATTTTCACATATACAGTTCAAGCAAGAAAAGGCTTTTTGAACTTCTATATTTCAGCCAAGGCAAAGATTACGAACATTGACTATTGGAGACAGAAATTCGCCAAAGTTTGATATTACTGAACAGTCACCGCGAGCTGGTTAAAGGCAGTGGCTCAGAAATCTCAACTTAGTCAAATTTGCGCTTACCTGGGTTATTCAATACGCTTATCCCAAAAATGCACTTTTGCGAGCTTGAAAACGGCAAAAACGAGCGTTTTTCAATGCCATTCTTTTGAAATTGGACGGGTGCAGCAAGGCTGATGACGGCTGATGATTGGCTGTGAAGGAGAACATGAGAAGGAATATCTGCTACCGACAAATGAGCTTTCCTCATAATAAATCAACTCTGGCATCTTCAACTTCAACCTCGAATGTGTGATCTCTACTTAACGTCAGTAGGTTGGCAAAACTCTACAACTCATGATTTCAACGCGGTGGGTTCCTTATCGCCCAAATTTGAAAACAGTGCAATCTCGGATGCATAGCATGCCTTCCCTGCCGCGAAAATTGCTCTCAAGCTTACACGCGCAGACTAATCTTACACGCATCCGGACGAGTTGGCAAATTTTCTGTCTCCAATAGTCAATGTTCGTAATCTTTGCTTTGGCCGAAATATAGAAGTTCAAAAACGCCTTTTCTTGCTTGAACTGTATATGTGAAAATTTCCAAATTTTCTTTGTATCTTCAAACTCGCCTCACCGTGAAGGACCATAAAGGTGAGACGTTAACTGAGCTCTGGTGCTCTGAAATCTGCTTCTCATTCTAATCTGCACAAAGTCTTTTGAGCAACCGCATCCATAAAATCTGGAGCCTTGCCCTTTTAGTTTTGCAAAAGCCCCAAAAGTTTAGTACATAAAATTTATTCAGATAATGAGGCAATTTCTGATGTATAGCAATACTCCGGTTTTTTCATGCTATAGTAAATCAATCGCTTCTTGGCAACGACGGTTTCCTTCTATAATCAGCAATTAGCATAATCACCGCTCGCAACTGCCTAGATTTTGGAGTCACCTTTGCACAGCTCATAGAATTAACTTATCTCTTATACGTCAGGTTCTCTCAAGAATAAATTACCCTAATTCAGCAAGCACGACATGCACTTATTTTTTTCCAAGTTACCAGTTTAACACCAAAAAATTTCGCGACCAAAGGACTTTCTATTGTGCTGCTTCTTACCTAAAAGACTTTTGCAGGAGAACGACCATTTTGCGAGGCACAGTAATGCGGCCGAACTGGTTGCTTGAAAAGAAGAGAAAAAGATGTGTCTTGTAGTCATAAATTAGGGTAATTGTAACTTTTGCTTTGTAACACAAACCAGCATGTACGACAGGTATAAAAAACGGATAAATGCTGCCTATTACAGGGCTATGAAAAATGTCGTTTCGAGACGCAAACCAAACAAAATGTTTTTTCAAGAAATCAAAATCCAATGTGTAATACATATAAGAAAACAGAACCTGTGCCTGACACAGCAGACCTCTGATAACTTCGCAGCCTGTGGAAAGCATCTCTTTTGCGGACATGAATCTACTCTTGGTCAGCTTTCTGTTGCTTTCGATTTTCATGGCAAGTGGCGCAGAAGACCTTTGTGACAGCGCCTGTGCCGTTGCCACCCGTGAATGTGAAGGCCAATGTTTGGCTAAGGTAGGAAATTATGCTATTTGCCAAATTCTTTTAGGAACATCAAGATTACAGTGACAATTGAAAGTGTTCAAGAAATAAGGTGGTTTCAATGGTTTTTTCGAGTTTTTCGAGTTAGAGCGGCAAGTAGTTATTCAACCTCAATAAGCACAACGTACTAGTATACCATAGTTATGTTCTCCTCATTCCACTTTGTAAGTTTTTCTCTCCATTTTAAGCCTACCTACTTTCTACACTGCTTTCTCCCTATTTCCGCACTTCTTTTAGTAAGACAGCAACAAAATTCTATCCAAGTTTGAGCTTCAGAGCGAAATACCATCTATCAAAAGATTCCTCATGTTTTCTCAAGTACACATATTATAAGCAACTTGCCTTGCGAATAACAAAGCTATTTTTTTGTGTAATATTTCAGGCTGATTTTAATGCTGAATATCCCATCAGAGGTGGAAAATGCCAACGCGTACGGACAGGGGAAGTACGGTGCATGTGCCATAATTGAATGTTGAATGTTTTGTGCTTCGTGCATAAATTTTTCAGTTGCAGTCTTCAATCTTACAATGAATTTTCAGATGGGAGTTGTTGTATCGAGGCTAAAAAATCGCTTTTGTACTCTTTTGTGGTTGAATTTCCATGTTCCTCCTTCATCGTTTCAGTATTTAAGACATGCAAAACTGAATTTCCATGTTCCTCCTTCATCGTTTCAGTATTTAAGACATGCAAAACTTTAGCAAAACTTTTGATAAATGGAACGTCTCCCAACCAAAGTATTTAGTGAGCCACGGCAAAAGTATCCTACTATAATATCTTTTGGTAACTGCCAAAGCAATGCGATGGAGGTGCTCTCCTCCCCCAATATGCTTTAATGTTGTGCTATGTGCTCTCAAACCGTATTAAGAAGAGACTAGCGACCCTAAAAGTCGCTAAAAAGTGGGAGGGCAGATAGATTATTGGGTGGTTATGTTATGACTACAAATATCTTTACAAATTTATACCTTTCTGAGAGCTACTTGTGAAAACCCACTGAGTGAGGCATAAAGCGAAGAACTTCACAAGCCGTTCAACATTCTTAAGAGTTCTGTCACATCTTTACGACTCAAATACCCCTTCATCCAAATCTCCTCTCCACAGGGATTCGTTTGCAGCAAAAGATTTCCCTCTCTTCACACTGTTTACAGGGAGA